TTTTGATGGCTTCTTTCCACATAGGACCTTCAGTAGACGTCACGGCTTCCGTATAAGTCCGTGGTTCATTTTCTACCAAACATGTTAGAAAATCCGGTTCATTTTCTACCATACATGTTAGAATATCCGAGTCAAATTCTACCAAGTAGGTGAGAAAATCCGGTCCGAAGGATTTTTCAACTCTAGCACGTTTGCTACGTCTGGGTTCGGGTTCTTCTCCGGAGCCCTCGCTAGAATTTTCCATAGCTACGTCAAATGTTCGTTCTGACGTGCTTGGTCCTTCGTTGGACTTGCATGGAAATACGTCTTCAAAGAATGAAGCATTCTTTGATTCAATAATTGTGTCTTTACGTACATCCGGATTATTCGAATCGTACACTAAAAACCGATAAGCACTACTATTTTGTGCATATCCAATAAAAATACAATCCACTGTTTTTGGACCTATTTTTATTTTCTTAGGTGTTGGTACAAGCACCTTAGCAAGACACCCCCCACTTTCAAATATTGACAGGAAGGCTGTCTACCTTTCCACAACTTGTACGGAGTTTTATCATATTTTTTTCTGGGGAGCCTTATTTAAAAGGTAATTGCTTGACAAGACTGTTTCGCCTCACATATTTTGTGGCAGGTCCGAACTTACTAGCATCGCATTCATTATATCTTTCAATGTGCGATTCTTTCGTTCAGCAACATCGTTTGATTGAGGTGAATAGGGTGCGGTACGTTCATGCACTATACCCACGCTCGCGCAAAAGTCACCAATTGGTGCTCCATACTCACCACCTCGATCACTTCTAACCGTTTTAATCCGTCGATTAAGTTGGTTTTCCACTTCATTCTTATAAAGAATGAATTTATCGATTGCTTCGTGTTTATTTTTTTATAAATAAACATAGCTATAGCGAGTGCTATCATCGATAAAAGTAATAAAATATTTATTACCGCCACGTGTTTGTATTGATTTAAAATCACAAACGTCACTATGAATTAATTCAAGTGGTTCCGTTTTTCTTCCAACCGATTTGAAAGACGTTTTCGTTAGTCTTGCTTCTACACAAACTTCACATTTGTGCTTCACATCAATTGTGAATTTAGGAATGTGTTCCATGTTAAATAATCTACGTATAGAATTAACATTAACATGTCCTAGTCTACCATGCCACACATTGGAAGACTCAAACAAGTAAGCAGAAGAGATTTTATTATTATTATTATTATTATTATTATTATTATTATTATTATTAATAGTCATTACATTGAGCTTAAACAGCCCATCACATGCATACCCCTTGCCCACATACATTCGCGACTTAGACAAAACTAGTTTGTCCGACTCAAAAACCATGCGGAAGCCATGTTTGTTCAACAACGAACCGGAAATCAGGTTTTTGCTTATTTCCGGAACGAACAAAACTTGGTTTAGAGTCAGCTCCTTGTCCGAAGTCATCTTCAGGACCACCTTGCCCACACCTTCAACCGCGGAATAAGCCGAGTTTCCCATGCACACCTTCTCAAAATATGATGTCTCAAAAGTTGTGAATAACTCCCGGTTTGAGCAACGAACCACTCCTTGGAATTGGATCCAACGAGGTTGACCTCGGTCACCACAGGCGCAAGGATGATGTCTTCATCCTTTTGCCCACCTTGCACCAAGTTGACTTGAGAGTCCCTCTTCTTCTTGGGTGCCTTGCAATCCACGAACTTGTGTCCGTTTTTATTGCAATTGAAGCATTTTCCGTTGAACTTTGTCTTGGAAACGCCTCCCTCGGGACCGAGCTTGCTCTTCCCATTTTTTTTTATTTTTGGAGCCTTTAGCATGCTCCACCACGTTGGCCTTGGCGCTGGTAACGATTGGGAGTTTCCAACCGTTCTTCCGGTTATCCTCTTCAATCCGCAAACGGAGGATCAATTGCTCCAAGTTCATTTCCTTTCGCTTATGCTTAAGGGAGTTCTTGAAATCCTTCCAAGCCGGCGGCAATAAATGGACAATTGACGCCACTTGGAATGACTCACTAACTGTCATTCCTTCATCTCGAATTTCGTTGAAGATCATTTGCATTTCTTCAACTTGACTCAAGACCGTCTTCGAATCCACCATTTTAAAATCAAGGAATCGGCCGACAACACATTTCTTTGCATCGGCATCCTCGCTTTTATATTTGTGGTCCAAAGCATTCCATAGCTCCTTAACCGTAGCTAATTTGCTATACACGTCGTACAAAGCATCATGCAGCCCGATCAACACGTAGTTTCGGCAAAGGAAGTCAGAATGCTTCCAAGCTTCAACCGCGTTGAAAGATTGCGCATCCACCTCACCCCCGGTTGCTACCGACGCATCTTCGGTCAAGAACCTTGCAAGACCGAGAGTAGTTAGATAGAATAACATCTTTTGCTGTCACCTCTTGAAGTTTAACCCATTAAATTTTTCGGGTTTCTCCACAGAGTTGCTTGGCACGGTAACCATAGGGATTGCCCCTTGGTTGCCCAAAGTAGATGCACCACGTTGTGAACCATTGTTCACCGGTGCTCCACTTTCAGAGTGAGTGTCATTTTGCACGTTTTGCCCACCAACACTCTGAATTTCTTGTGAAGCCATTTTAACGTTTTCTTACGTTTTCCGAAAACACAAAAAAATAAGTTTGTTCACCAAAGTGACAAACTACGATTTTAAGATTGTTTACCTCAGTAGAACAATCACGGACTACGTTTTAAGATTGTTGGGTGTGTTTTGAAAAACAAAGAAATATTAATTAATAAAAATTAATTAATAAATAAAATAGCCCAAGAAAAAACAGAAAATAGATGGAACAGAAGTTTAGCCAGAGCTCGTGCTACGCACGATGTCCTTAAAACGTATTTGTCGCCTCCCACGGTGCTAGGAGCGTTGCAACGACCGTTTCCCAGGATACGGTGGGTAACGAACTAACGTTTGAGCACACAAATGAGAGTTCGGGCGAACAGGAACAAAGTAGAACACTCATGAATTTTTTCGAGTAGCTAGAAGTGTTTTTTTAGCTCAAAATACGTGCAGATAGTGTATGATTGCATGTGTTGTTGCAAAGCACCTGCCAGCTATTTATAGGAGGATTTGTTGTGTGTTAAATGGGATGTTAATGGACCTGAACGTTGGACATCAATGACCAGTCCGTTGGGCATTGAATCGTCCATAAACTGTCCATTTAACGCTGCATTAAAAGACAAGAACGTTGGGCATTTAATGGCTGTAACGGCTTGGGGCAGTTCTGGTGCACGACCAAAATACCCCCCATCAGAGTTGAAGCAACTCTGATGCTACCAGAATACCTCCATCAGAGTTGGAGCAACTCTGATGCGAAGCGAGCAGAGGACTCCCACCAGAGTTGGAGCATCTCTGGTACGAAGCCACCAGAGTTCGAGCAGTTCTGTCCGAGCACTTCTGGTCCTGGGAAAAATAAAACGTTACGGGAAGAAACAAAAATTAGACAGTATCTTTGAATGATAGATTTTCGGGTCGCCCGCGCACACGAGTCGCAGTTTTCTTCTCCGTTTTGGGATTTGATCGGCACCTCCCCCCTGCGCGTAAGAGAGCATTTACCTTTAGGAACCTTAACTCCTTAAAAGAGGCTTCCCTTTATAAGGGGGTGAAAATCCCTTGAATTTTCCAGTGTGGTATAAAACACACTAGAAACCTATCATTTTCCCAATTTTTCCATTTCAACGAGTGAACTTCGAGAATCAATTTCTCATTCACCCGTTATCCGTTTTGAGTGTACCATATATCGAATTGTAGCCCTTAACAAGGACAATCCGAAACCACTTTGATCCGACCCGAATCGGAAGTGGACCCCACTCAAACAATTGCCCCAAAATGACCATTTAATGCAATTTTTAACATATTTTTCCAACAGACATTTGCACCCTATTGTCAAGAGCATTAGTGTGTGCATCCCATATCCGTATGAAATATTTGACTTTGCACTGCGTCCCTCACAATTTTTGGGTTGATCAGGTCCAAAATGATATTAAGGTTTTTAATGAATCTTGAATTGGACACTTATGTTTTTAGTAGATCATAGGGACAAGGGCAAAAAATGACACTAAATTGTGTAATGAATCCCGGATCGGATACTCATGCTCGTTATTGAAGAAATATTGAGCGTCAATATTCTGGACGATCAAAATATTGTAAATGCTAGAATGCAAATGAAATTTTTGTGAAATCCACTTTCGACTCTATGGAGTGATAAGAATCCAGGAAAACAATTATATGGATATTAGTATTAAATTGAAAGAATGGCCCGTCTATAACTACGCAGTCACTGGTGGGGCGGAGTAACCGGTGGAGTCACTATGATAGTGGAGTCATTGCGCACGGATTCACTTTGACCGTAATCACTTTGAACTGCAGTGTTTGATTGTGATGTTAGTCACATATTTGGAAATTTTTAAAAATATTCACTTTTTTTGTCTTTTCTCTTTTTTAGTAATATCCGGGCCAAAAGGCCTATTAAATTTAAATTTTGAAAATGGTTTTGTTTACCCCATTTGATGTATATTACAAATGGTTAGGATCCAAAACAGTGAATGAAACACAATTGACTTTGCACAGATACAACATTAACATCATTGTTTAAAGAAACTTAATAATAATGCATGTTAAAATATTTAAATAAAATTTCCTACAGCCCCTAATGATATTATAACATAATCCGTACTAATATAATCTCTTATGACATACTTTATCCAGTCTTAAATAAGTGTAACTAACGGTCCATTTTTCACGTTTGCCAATATATAATTCTGACCATAAATACATTATTTTCTATTGCTAAATACATTTAAAAAGTCAAATTGGAAAATTTGCAATGAGACAAATTTAACATTATTTTTTTAAAACAATTTATTAATATATTAATAAATAAGGCGTGGTCAAAATTGATCATATAAATAGTATAAAATTCAACATAACGAAAATAGTACTTCAGGCAAGATTAATCATGATAACATCCTCTTATCGGGCAAGATTATTTTTTTGACAGAATCAGGCAAGAATTTACTCCTTATGATATAACTATATAAGTTGTTATGATATAAATTGTACCCCAAATGTACTCCAATATACACTTTCGTCTTTGGGCTACATTTTTTTTATTTCAAAGCAATAATAAATAATCACGTACACAATTTGTATATTTGACAAGTACGGAGTATTAAAATTGTCGCTATTCACAGCCGGAAAAATTAATGTCGAGGTTGCATAGGAACTCCGTCGCGCACACCGGGCACCGTTTGGCAAACGCCTCACACCGCTTACACAGGCAGAGATGGCGGCAAGGCCAGAGCAACACGGTCGCAGTCCGGCGGCCGCAAAGCCGGCACTTGATCCTAACAGGGTCAGAGTGCTCTGGATCTACCGACGATGATTGGGCGTCCTCCTCCAGCAGCACGCCATGCGGTGGTTCCGTGGGCGGCCGCTCATTCCCGCCGCCGTGAAGAGTGGCTTGGTGAAGAGCCTCCCTTAGAGAAGCGTTGGTCCGCTGGAGAGTCCTCAGCTTCTCGTCCAGCTTCGCCGCGTGGGCTCTGTAAGAAGCCAGCGTATTCTCTAATTCAGCGTTGTGTGCCCTAACTCTGCCCAACATTTCATCTTGCCTTTCTTTCATGTTGTTCATAACCCTCTGCTCCGCCGTCAAGAGAGCCACCAGATGTTGAGTGCACATTTCTGCCATTATATCCTTCACACGATCACTCTGCATGTGTTTAATTATAAGCATCAAATACATTGTATATTGCTCAAATATTTGGGTTATTCATTGAATCATACTCCCTCCTTTGGGAAGTCAATATTTTTTGGGAAAATTCCCAAAATAGGAGTAAAATAATTTGAAAAAATCTAAAATAGGACTGTTATGTTTTTATTCCCAAAATAAGAGTAATTAATGTCAAGTTTGGAAAATACTGTCATGTTCAGTCCTATTTTAGAATATACAAACGGTTTTAGTCCTATTTTGAGTAATTTCTCATACTACGTATTTTTATGTCAACCAATAATAAAAGTCAATCCTCAATGTTGATAATTAATTTAATTTTTAATAATTAAAATTTACATATTCAGAAATTACATTAAAATCTCTTCAAAGTTGTAAACTCAAAATTAGAATATACGTACTAATTAAAAATTGACATCTTAATTAAGCGAATAAAATTGAACTGTTTGATCAAGAAGTCAAATTTGCAAATCAAATTGGGAATGAAGTACGGCATATATAGGGCGTTTTCTTAGAAAACGAGAATTATCCACAAGCAGAGCAAAAACACATGAGTTTGGTTAGAGTTTCTAAGATTGAGGAATTCAGAAAGAGGGTTTCCGAATTAGATGATTGGGTGGGTTGGCTAGGAAGGGAAGGGGTTGGCAAACATGTGTAAATCCCATTTATTTATTATTTAATATAACTTCTTTATTTTTACTCCAAATTTTACAAAAATATATTGAAATTCTTAATTTTTATGATCTTTCTGATGACACCAATATCTCATATAGATAGTATAAATTTATTTTATATTTTTGAGGTTTCAAATGTAGAAAGTTTTCAAATCCAATTTTTTTCCTAAATAGATTCAAGTGCTAAAATTAGGATCACATTATTAACATAACTTTTTTTGCATGTTTCAATTAATTTAAAAATGATATTTTATTTTAGCACTTGGATCAATTTAAAATAATTGTTGAAACTAAAAACTACATACAGTTGAAACTTCAATTTTGTTTTTAACTTTTTATATGGGATATTGGTGTCATATGAAAGATAATAAAAAATTATCAATTTTGATATATATATTTTATAAAAAATGGAGAACAAAAATAAAAGTTACATTACTTAATAAAAAATGGGGTTTTATATTTTACCCAGACCCCCACCCACTCCCCTACCCATGCGCCCCAGCCTTGGATTTTTTGGATTCGGAAAATGGAATTCCGATTCACTTGTTGTTGTCCAATTTTTGAAGTCTCGTGTTTTGGGAATTTCGTGTTTTGAGAATTTCGTCCGCCTATACTCTTATTTCGTAGCCTATACAATGTTTTTATTTCGTAGCAAATTATAATCCAACTAAAAAGATGGTGAAGTTGCAAATCAAATTGCAACTCTAGATTGATGACTTACATAGATCTTGGCAATATTTTGGATAACGGGATGATCTTTGTGCAGATCATGAAGAGTCGCAGGACGGGGATGATGAACGTCCTTGCCGCCGTCTCCATTGCGCAACGATGCGGCGTAGGCCTTTAAAGACGACAACCATTCCGAGTCTACTCCGCTTTGCTCCGGCGCCTGCTGGCCCGAGATGCCGCTGCTTAAGCGAAGAGCGGTGTCCAAATGGGACGGCGGCGGGTTGGCAGATGAAGACGCCAATTCCTCGGGGTGGAACAGGTTTAGCTGTGCCATCGCCGGCGAGTTGGTGAAGCGCGGCGGCGGAACTGGACATTCATCAACTCTCTTCATCTTCTTCTTGCAGTTATATTTCTGAACCGACGACATTTTCACTTTGATTATCTTTGATCATCTTCTACATACTGCGTATGTCTTTTTAAAAGTTGAGATGTTTAGTGAAGAGATGCATGTCATCGCTAAATAATCCTACGTACGGACGTTTCTCTTGGTTATGATACGGAGTACTCTGTACTTTTCAAATGGAGAGACGCCTCTATTATTTTTCTTTTATTTCTTAATTCGTTCTTATAAAAAACTAAATGTGTTTCGAGTTCGACTCCTACAGTACATTTATTAGGAAGCTGCCACACGACCACTTATTTTTCTTTTATTTTTCTTTTATCTCCTTTACATTTATTAGGAAGCTGCCACACGACCACTTATTACATCAGTGGCCAGAATTTTATTTTTGTTAATGTTGCCCTCCATTTCTTCTTTTGTTTAATTGCTATAACAACTACCACTATGCACTTTTTTCTGATCAAACCATCTCCGGAAAAACACCCACACGACTACCCCTTGTTAAATCTTTAATGCCTCTGCTCTTTGGATCTGTTTTTTAAATGTTGCCTCTATTTTTTAAAAAGTTCGTTGTTTAATAATCATCAAATTCTCGAACTGCTATCTGTAATGTAAATTAACGAACAAAACAAAAATTTCAACCTTCAATTAAATATAAGCTGTCAAACTGCTATTACATCAAAATTAGCAAAAATAAAAAATCAGCAGCTCAACCTTAAATTATATATAAGCTGGCAAACTGCTATTACATCAAAATTAGCAAAAAAAATCAGCAGCTCCAAATTCAACTACTTCCTACTCCAAATTATCAACAAGCCAGGTCTTGATCTGCAACTTTCAATTAAATATAAGCCACAAACTGCTGTCCACCATATAAGCCAAATTCTACTGCTTCCTACCCCAAAAACATCAATACTCTCTACTCCACCTGCTTGTTGTGACACATATGTATGAAAATCTCTTGGCTTTAATCCAGAAGCATCGGCCAACAGAATTTGTGATGCTTGTGTCTCAGACACGTGATGATGAAACCGAATCATGTGAACATAATCAAGAGGTTGAAGAGGATGTTTATGTTCGTCTACAAAGTCACTGACCTTGTACTTTTCCAGCTTTCGATCAAGTGAAATAACCATTCGTGCTTGACATCCAGTTCTAGTTTCTGCCCTTAGATTTTTTGTCAAGTTGTGTCTCGTTTGTCTGTACCTCGTGTGCCCTCTTTATAGCATGAGAATCTTCTTGAGGATAATATTCCATCCTTTTTGCTTTTATTTCCATATTCTCGACGAATGCCGAATCCGTACCTCCTACTATATGCATTATAAAAGTCATATGCTTCTGCTTCAGATTGGAACTCCATTGATAGGAACTAGTTGTTAGTGCCTAAGTATACATTTTTATTATTGTTTGTAATGTTTATTTACTAGTTTTGTGCAAGTTTATAGTTGTTAGTTTGCATTTGATTGTAATCGTATTTCTAGCATTTTTATTGTTTGTTGTAAGTTGTAGTTAGTTTGGCTATAAGTTTAGGATAGGTTTGGAAGCAAAAAGGACGAAGAAACCCGAGTTTTGTGCAAAACCCAGTTGGGTATGGACTTCACCCGGCCGGGTATGAAGTGACAAAGGAAACTGCTGCAAAACTAACAAATACCCGGTCGGGTATTCCATATACCCGGTCGGGTATGAAGTGATTTCGGACCAAAGAACGTGCAGAAGACACAAAAACATGGGAAAATATTTGATTTGGTAAATACCCGGTCGGGTATGTCAAAATACCCGGCCGGGTATCCGGCATTAGGTGTTGAAAACACCTATAAATAACCCCATTTTCCTTCACTTTTCATCATCCCTTCTTCCATTCTCTTTAGCTCAGTTTAGAATAGCATTTCTTTATATTTTTCTAGATATGTTCAGCCTCCAAATGATGAGCTAAACTTCCATTCTTGGTTTTGCTCTTGAAGCTTGTTGATTATTAAAGTTGTGAGTTATTTTCTTAACTTCTTCTCTTGATTATTAATTCTTCCCTTAATCTCATTCTATATTAATGTTGGAGGGTTGCTAAGTGACGATTAGTTAACGTTCCGACATTAATTACTACTAGAAACGATCAACGAACCGATGGTTAATCGTTGGTGGTTTCACAAGTAAGTAACTTCGGTTTATTAATGCACGGTCGTGGTTAATAGACTTAAGAGGGATCAATTTTGTTGGTTAAACCGAAACCGTTGTGTTAAGGTTATCAATCTCAATTGATTTCATCAAGGAGTTAAAAAGATTGAATGCTACTATTATATCGGTATAAGGCGTTGTTCTATATTTGATTAATAGTAAGGGTTATTAATGAACGGTCGTCAGTGGCGGAACCAGGACTCGTGACTCGCAGGGGCACAATAACAAAGAAATGATATACTAGTCTAGAAAAAAATCATATGCATCACGAGTATAGCAATAAACAAAACTATAAAATTTAAATAAAACCACTGTTTTTGGAATGATCTGTTGCACCCATTAAAATCACTTTGTGGAAATTTAAAGTCACGCGGTTGGCAAGGACCTTTTCTCAAATAACGTCTCCTCAACTCATCTCTAATATTAACATCATAAGTCTCAATCGGCATAACTTTTCTGTCCAGCACTTTTCTGTCCGAACGCCGTCCGAACACCGGCGTTTGGGGCGGTTCCCGGCGGAATATTTTGATGAAAATTTTTGAGCATGTTCCTCATCAAGTCTAGTTTATCCATACCAAACTTCAGCTCAAAATTCGATCGGTAAGGCAGTCAAATAATTCGTTGAAGTTAACTGCGCCAAATTATACATAGAAAAACGCAGTTAACTTCAACGAATTATTTGACTGCTTTCCCAGTCGAATTTTGACCTGAAATTTGGTATAGATAAACTAGACTTGATGAGGAACATGCTCAAAAAATTTCATCAAACAAATCCACCTGAAACCGCCCCAATATATATATATATATATAAATCTATATATATATATATATATATATATATATATATATATATATATATATATATATATATATATATATATATATATAAATCACCGCAGGGGCACGGGCACCCCCTAACCCTAGGGTGGGTCCGCCCCTGACGGTCGTTGTTAATAACTACCCTCGATGAATTGGAGATACTCCTCGGTTGAGTATTCGAGAGGGGATAAGTTATAGATATAACAAGGATCGACTAAAATATATCAACAAGTGGAAAGTAGCAAAGTCAAGTCCCTTTTATTCTTGAATTAAACACATATAGGTTGTTCATCTTAGTTCTTAATTAAATTAAATCACTCAATCCAAATCCCCCCTTTTTATTTACTAAGTATCATAAAAAGAGCAATATTCCTTTCCCTGTGGATACGAACTCTACTACACTATACTACATATAAGTGTTTAGTATTGAAATTATTTTGACGCACCGTGACAAAGTGCTCGTCAAATTTGGCGCCGTTGCCGGGGAAAGGTAATTATTTTTCTTTTTATTTTATCTCATAAAAATAAAAAACAAATATATATATATATATATATATATATATAAAATTCTTGCTCTTCTATTTTCTGAGCTTACATGAGTTATGAGTATATGGATACCAACACTTCATCCTTAGAGAGTCAAATTTCCTTCTTGACTTCTCTAATAAAGGAATCTATCTTTAACTCAAAAGCTCAAGATGCCAAGCCATGCAACATTTGCATGTCTCACAGGCATCTTACGGACTTCTGCCCAAAGCTCCAAGAGAATACCTTGCACAAATTGATGATGTACCTCACATGAGGTATGATCCATTCTCCAACTCTAATATGTCCACGGAGGACATGGTTCGGGCTCTTACTAACAGTGTGACCGCCATGCAACAAAACATGGTGCAATTCCAAAATGAGACCAAGTCTAGCATTTTGAACTTGGAAACTCAAATGAGTCAAATAGCCGGAGTCGTGAGTAGGCTTGAAGCAAGGGATTCAGAAAAACCTCCTTCTCAACTAGAATGTGATCCTAAACAGCAAACTTTTGCAATCACATTGACAAATGAAGAGGAAATGCAAAAGGAGATCCAGAATCCAGAAGAAGTAAAGGAAGAAAAAGACACGGAGCTCCAACTGGTCAAAGAAGAGGATAATCTGAGCTTCAAGGTTAAATATCTATCCTTGTCATCTTTTGAGGTACCCCCATCAATTCTAAAAATTTTGAGGGAAACTCATAAACTTGGAAAGGACAATGACATTTCTGAAATCCTCTTCAAAATTGAGGGATCGAAAAACTTTTCATTGACCATAGTAAACGATAATTTCTTCCCTTTTCTCCCACCGCATGAATCAATGACAATCTGGATATTTGATCCTGGAAAGATTCCCAAATTGAAGAGTCGAGAAGTTGAGCACTCCTATGAACGTCCTAGGAGTGAAAGTGTGAAAAAGATAAACTATCATGATCCAAGTTTGAATGACTGAACACAATGATGGCGTCGTGCCACGACGTTAAATAAGACGCTTCTTGGGAGGCAACCCAAGCAAGGTACGTTTACTTGTTTTATTTTATCTTTACACCTTTCAAAAAAAATCTGGGAGGAAAAACCCGCCCGGGTATATCCCACACCCGGTCGGGTAACAGCACAAAAGGATTATACCCAGGCAACACAGCCACCGGGTAAAAAAAAAGCTGAAATTTCAGGAGCACAAAGTCCCTTGACTATGAAGTGGTCGAGGAGTTCTGTGAGGAGATTGAAAATCTGAGCTCGTTCAAATCCGGGGAGCAGGATGATGAGGACGGTGAGGACGAGGAGTCTGCGTCATCGTCTGGAGGTGGGGATGTAGGGGTCTCCCGAACTGCCGATGGGGCGTCCACGTCGGCTGCCATTCCCTGCCCAAAGCCGATGTCTGCTGTGAAGGGTGTTGCGCCGCCGAAGAGGGTGAGGAGGCCGAAGAGAGGGCCAGCCTTCTCTTACTTGGATCTGATGAATATCTACATTATCAGGCCGCAGAGAAATGCGGGTGAATACCTGGTTGCACAGATGTATGTGGGGCCGT